ATTTATCAGAATATTTTGAAGAATTTGATGTTTTATTTGATGGATGGTCTTTATAAGTTCGTAATTCCCTCATTATTATCCTCAAAACTTGATTGCTTTAAACTCTAAGCCTCCATCATACTCTTAAAAGTTTCTTTTTCCTATTGTAAAATTTCATGTGTTCTTTTTAGGTTTTTAGGTTGATGTTATTATCCTGCTAGTTATCTATTTGACCTAATAAGCTCGACATGCACATATACGTTCTTTGACACGAGGTCCACGTGTCTTCTAATTACTTGGCTTAGTTCTTATCCGGCTAGTTATCTGTTTGGCCTAATAAGCTTGACATGCTCTTTATATTTTATTCGACACGAGGTCCATGTGTCTTCTAATTACTTGGCTTAGTTCTTATCTCAACATGCTCTTTAATATATTTTCTTCGACACAAGGTCCACGTGCCTTCTAATTACTTGGCTTAGTTCTTATCAGGCTAGTTATTTGTTTGACCCAATAAGCTCAACATGCTCTTTAATATATTTTCTTCGACACGAGGTCCACGTGTCTTCTAATTACTTGGCTTAGTTCTTATCCGGCTAGTTATCTGTTTGGCCTAATAAGCTTGACATGCTCTTTATATTTTATTCGACACGAGGTCCATGTGTCTTCTAATTACTTGGCTTAGTTCTTATCTCAACATGCTCTTTAATATATTTTCTTCGACACAAGGTCCACGTGCCTTCTAATTACTTGGCTTAGTTCTTATCAGGCTAGTTATTTGTTTGACCCAATAAGCTCAACATGCTCTTTAATATATTTTCTTCGACACAAGGTCCACGTGCCTTCTAATTACTTGGCTTAGTTCTTATCAGGCTAGTTATTTGTTTGACCCAATAAGCTCAACATGCTCTTTAATATATTTTCTTCGACACGAGGTCCACGTGTCTTCTAATTACTTGGCTTAGTTCTTATCATGCTAGTTATTTGTTTGGCCTAATAAGCTCGACATGCTCTTTAATATATTTTCTTCGATATGAGGTCCATGTGTCTTCTAATTACATGGCTTAGTTCTTATCAGGCTAGTTATCTGTTTGCTCTAATAAGCTCGACCTTTGACACAAGGTCCACATGTTTTTTTGATTACTCAATTTAGTTCTTATTAAGTTAGTTATCTATTTGGCCTAATCCAGCTCGACATGTCCTTTAATATACGTTTTTCAACACTAAGTCCATGTGTCTTCTGATTATTTGGCTTAATTCTTATCAGACTAGTTACCTATTTGGCCCATAAGCTCGACATGCCCTTTAATAAACGTTCTTCAATATGAGGTCCACGTGTCTTCAAGGTGCCTACGCAGATTTTGACACGATAAAAGTTAATCATACTCGTAACATACTCCCATCTTTCAATTTTATTTTATATTGCCATAACCATAATAATTCCAGATTTGTTGACATAGAGGTCTTAGTTCAAATATTGACTCATTTATCAAATTAGTATGTAATAATGACGACTAGTTGTCGCCTTCCCCCAAGACTATCCATTTTTATCTAAATCATTGAAAGAAGAACTTCATTTGAACCCCGAAATACCCTTAGCTTTCTTTTCAATTACCGAATCTACCCTCCCCGTTGCCTTCAACACTACGAATCTCGCTCGCTCACTCGGCAGCATCAAGCAGTAGCAGAGCTGAAAACTGAGCTTCATCAATGGGGTCCGTTTCTCTGAAAATCGGAGATGGAACCGCCAGATTCAAGAAGGCAACTCTTTGTTCTTCAGCACTCAACATTCTCATGCTCATTTCTGTTATCACCACAAATCTCTTCGCCTTGTACGCCTTCACTTACTCTCCGAAAGATCGCGAAGTCCATTCGCTCAATCGCACGCACAAGAACGTTTCTCTCATATCGGAACAAGTTTCTTTAATTCTTAGAGAGATCGATGCTTCTCAGAAGAAGCTTGCTCAGATGGAGAAGGAAATTCTTGGTTATGAAAGCATCGATCTCTCCAGATCCAATGTCGCAAACGAGCTCAAACTCTTTCTCCAGCGCCATCCTCTTCCTCTTGGTAAAGATTCGAAAAGTGGAATCACTGAAATGGTTGCATCCATCGGGCATTCGTGTGAGAAATCGATGGACCTTTTGTCGCAGTATATGAATTACAAGGTCTCTGGACCTTGTCCTGACGACTGGAGCCTTGCTCAGAAGCTGATTCTTCGCGGATGCGAGCCCTTGCCGAGGCGGAGGTGTTTGGTCAAATCTGTTCCGAAGACAGGTTTGCAACCTTTCCCTCTGTCTCTGTGGAAACCTGTAAGTGATAAGATTGTTATGTGGAGTGGACTTGGATGCAAAAATTTCCAGTGTCTGAATAGTAAGAAATTGGGCAGGGATTGTGTTGGTTGCTTTGATTTGGTTAAAGAATTTGAGAATCAGAGATTTGTCAAAGCCAAAGGGAAGAATGATTTTCCAATTGATGATGTTCTAGCTTTAACTGGTGGTGGTATCAGGATAGGTTTAGACATTGGGGGAGGATCTGGAACATTTGCTGCTAGAATGGCTGAGAGAAATGTGACCATTATTACCTCTACTTTGAACATTGATGCCCCATTCAGTGAATTCATTGCTGCAAGAGGGTTGTTTCCTCTGTTTTTGAGTATAGATCATAGATTCCCTTTCTATGACAATGTGTTTGATTTGGTTCATGTCTCTAATGGATTGGATACTGGTGGAAAGCCTGAAAAACTGGAGTTCCTCGTGTTCGATATCGATCGGATCTTAAGGGCGGGTGGATTACTTTGGCTGGATAACTTCTATTGTGCTAATGATGAGAAGAAAAAAGCTTTAACTCGCTTGATCGAGCGGTTTGGATTCAAAAAACTGAAGTGGGTCATTGGGGAGAAATCTGAATCAGGCAAATCCGAGGTCTATCTGTCTGCTGTTCTACAGAAGCCTGTAAGAGTATGATCATCAAACTAGCTTCAGCAGGAAAGGGACAAGAGGTACGAGATAATTGTTTTTTCTCATCTTTGATTATCAAAATATTGAGTGAATTTGGTAATAGCATCCTCATTACATGTTTCAAAAGTGAAATAATGAATAGCATCAATTATTCTGATTACTTGTATACTAGCTGCTATTGAGAAGGATACAGCATTAGATCAGTCACTTAGATGTTGTCTTTTTTGTTCTCAATGGAAATGCATTACTTGGAATGGAATTTGAAGCCACTTTCCTTATTACACACCCTTATGAAAGAATGTTTCGTTCTCCTTGACGTGGAATCTCATAATCTACTCCCTTCAAGGCTAGCGTCTTCACTGACACATCGTCTCGTCTAGTGTCCACCCCTTTAGGGTTCAGTCTCCTCGCTAGCACATTGCCCGGTGTCTAGCTCTAATACCATTTGTGACGGCCCAAACACCACTGCTAGCAAATATTGTCCTCTTTGAGTTTCCTCTTAAAGTTTTTAAGACGCGTATGCTAGGGAGAGACTTACACACTGTAAAAAATGTTTCGTTCTCCTCTCCAACTACGTGGGATCTCACAATTAGCCTTTTTGAATCTTATTTCGAAAGTTTGGAATACCATTAAAGATACCCATCAATGTTATGAGCTCTTCCTCGGGTAATAAAATAGAGATGGCATAGCTTGATATTCTTTTGCCATAGTCATGAATTTAGTATTAGTTGAAAAGATGAATTTAGTATGAGTGTAAGTTGATTAATAAACCAAGATCATTATGCCTAAATCATCTTAATACTTAGATTCGTGTTCGTGTGTATTTTTATGTTGGTTGATTTATATTTATAATATGAAAAAGATGCTAATTTACGAGGTATGAATTTTCATACTATTGGAAACATATTGATTTATATAGCGTATATTACTTATTGTATACCATTGAAATTATACCACCTTTTAGCTTATTTATTTTTAAAAGGAGAGTTTTAATTTTGAATATTTGAAATTTTGTAGAATAGTTAATAACATATTTAGTTCTATTTCCAATAAATTTTATAGGTGGAAGATCGAAACATTAACATTTGAGATGCTAATTATTATTTTATCGATTAAGTTTTCAAAATGGTGCTAACATTTTGTTCTACAAAATCATCCTAAAACATTAGAAAATAGCACAGAAAAAAAAAACTATTATGTAAAAAGAAAAAATGAATACCCTAAAATAGAATAATTAAATCTATTAATTAATGTAATAGAATTTTAATTAAATACAACTTATAAGAAATTATAATATAAAATAATAAATCATTATCATCTATATTTTTAAATATTAGACTTACAATTCTAAAGATTAAAAAAAATGATAAATAAAATTTTAAGGCATATTAATATATATATATATATATATATATATATATATTTTGTTTTCTAATCCACAAATTTACCCAAAAAAAACATAAAAGGTTTAAATATTAATGTATTGTTATTTCATCCTGATCTCTAATCTTATAAAATATAAATTTATTTAATTTTAGTTAATTTTTTAAAAAGCATTTTAAAGGAGAAAATAAGTCCTTCTCGGCCCTTTACTTTATTGGGGACCAGATAAATTTTTAAGAAAATAGATAAAAAAAAATCTTGAGACAACTAATTGATTCATGGTACTAATAATATGAAATTATAAATTTAGTATATGGGCTTAAATATACAATATTTTTAATTTTACTTTTATTTTTTAATTAATTAACTAACGTTCTTTTGTGTGGAATATAGAGTGATTTGAGCTACAATATTTTAATTCTCGCGGAGTGTCAAATGGTTACGAGGATTAAAGTTTTTTATTTAATATATATATATATATATATATATATATATATATATATATATATAATATATTATTTTTTGTTCATGTAATTTAACACTATTGAACGAATAAAAAAAAAAGGATGTGATATAATAAATCATGTAAAAAAAATATAAAAAAGAAAAGAAAATTAAAGAAAATGGATTTGGGCCTTTGGCAGCACAGTATGAGTCCACTTGCGTTCTTAAATTAAAAGCAAGCCTTATTGTTTCCTTCGTTTAACCCTAGCTGCCGTTCCTGCGCTGCTTCTTCTCTCTCCCTATCTATCTCTCCGCTTCAGTTTCTCCATCAAGCTGCCTGTCGGAGTAAGTTTTCTCTAATTAAGCTCTGTGATTGTTTATCGTTACTGTTTCCTCAGTGTTTATTCCGATGGTTTTCTATTTGTTGAATCTTCTGATATTATTTTGTTGATATGGAGAATGTATTTATGGATATTGTTGGTCGTTTTCTTCCATGAATATTAGGGATATTTGTTTCTTTTACTGCTTTTGGATTTTCTGTTGCGCAGTTTTTGATTGCTTCCATGATTCATTTTTCATGCTTGAATGTGTTCTGCTTGCTCGGATTCTATCATCGGTCAACTATAGCACTCGTGATATCGTTTAGTAATGGAAATATCTGACTAGTTTTTAAAGAAAATCTTAATTTATTTTCTTTGTAGTTGTCCAATGGTAGTAAGCCAATGCTGTTTGTTGTTATATGTTGAAATTACTGCATTGAAGAAGAAAATTACACAGGAGACACCTTATATTTGGGATTGTTATCATTGTTATTTTCTCTCTATGGTTTTTACGCTTTCAATTTGTATTAAACCTGATTTGCGATATTTTTCAGAAATGGATGCTGCGGTTGCGGTTGCGGTTCCGGTGGATGCAGGTCAGGAACTCACCCAGCCTCACCACGATGTGAAGCTTTTCAACCGCTGGACCTTTGATGATGTCCAGGTTACTATTTTTTTTTTTTCTCTAATGATCTGTTTGTTTACTGCCTTTTATGGATGCCACACCTACTTTTATGCAATTTCTGATGCTGGCTTTTCTCTGAGGTTTTTCTTTTTGCTGTTCCCCACACCGAAGCTTGGTTTTTAGATTTAGGAACTGTCCGATGATTGAATTCAATGTTAGTTAGGCTCGCTATGGACTTGTTAATATCTCTACTGGGATTTAAATTATTGTCCCAAAATCCTACTGTAAGGTGCAACGTGTACTATGCTAAACATTGCTACTTGTTTGTCCAATTAATTATCAAGAATCAAAGTTTTAGAGTCAAGAAATAAGTAGTCACCCTTGATGAATGATGACAGAGATGAGATGATAGACTTGTCTTTTATCAGATTATGTTTTTTTCTCCCTACTTTAGTGTTGTTTTGCTGCTTATTGTGATAATGAAGGCAATTTATGGGTTAACTTCATTTGTGATGAATTCACTGGTCAATTTTATTGTGGTCCGTACCATTTTGCTTTGATTTGGTAGGTTCAGCAAAAACTTGATACCACCCACATTTTCTAATTGTGTCTGATGGGTATGGTGTTGCAGGTTAATGACATGTCTCTGGGGGATTACATTGGAGTTGCACCTTCCAAGCATGCAACCTATGTTCCACACACTGCTGGCCGATACTCTATGAAGCGTTTCAGGAAAGCTCAATGCCCAATTGTTGAGAGACTTACAAACTCCCTCATGATGCACGGAAGAAACAATGGGAAGAAACTAATGGCTGTGAGGATTATCAAGCATGCAATGGAAATCATCCATCTACTAACTGATCTTAATCCTATTCAAGTTATCGTCGACGCTGTTGTCAACAGGTATGCGTTAGTGGTGCACTGACTTTCACCGTAGAAGTGTTTTATTTGTTTGGCTTATCAGTCCGTTATGATTTGGCAGTGGTCCACGTGAAGACGCTACACGAATTGGTTCGGCTGGTGTTGTTAGGCGTCAAGCTGTGGATATCTCCCCTCTGCGACGTGTGAATCAAGCAATATACCTTCTCACAACCGGTGCTCGTGAAGCTGCCTTTAGAAACATCAAGACAATTGCCGAATGTTTGGCTGATGAACTCATCAACGCTGCTAAGGGCTCATCAAACAGGTAAATATTATAGAATCCCACACTAAGTTCTCATTTATTCTTCTGTACAAGATGACATTGTGTTCTTCTGTTCTTGCAGCTACGCTATCAAGAAAAAGGATGAGATTGAGAGAGTTGCGAAGGCCAACCGTTAATGGAATAGAGAGAGAGATCAATGGTACAACAGGAGTTTTGTTTTGTTGTTCTTTATTAAAGTTTCTATGGACATGGTGTTGTTTTGTTGTGAATGTTCTTATTTTATTTTTCTAGTTGCTAGAATCATTTAATACTTAATTAAGGTTTAAGAGTTTTGATATGGATGAGATATTAGTTTATATTTAATTTTGGATAAATTGCTTTGCATTTTAACCACATTGAATGTGATTCTCTCTCTACTATAGTTTCTTTTTAATAATAAATCTTAGGTTTTTTTGGTGGGTTATTAGTAATTTAATGTTGTGTTGAATTGAATTTAAATTTAGATTTCCATATTGTAGCAGTAAGTTTTTTTTACCGACCAAATGAATTTTTACATCACCTTTTTATTACCTTTGGAATATCTTTGTAAATAAAGTCGAAATTTTAGTTTGTTTTTTTTTTAAATTCAAGAATAAAATGAGTTAAAATTTTTATTGATTTAAATACTGGTTTTAATTAAACGACCTGGAATATTAAAAATGATTTTAAAGTGATTAATTTATTCACGTTTGTAATAAATGCAATTGTTTTTAAATGAAATGAAATTAAACTAAAGTTTATGGTAAATTGAAATAATTAAATCACTTGCGCAAAATATTTTTTTTTTTATATATAATTTGTCTCCAAATTTTTTAATTTCTATTAAATAGATTTTTTTTACTGATAAATCTCTTTTTTATCTTTTAATTTTCTCTAGTAATATGGATATATTTTAAAATTGGTAAGATGAATATTAATGATGTTTTTAAAATTGTGTATTAAACACAAAATTAAAAGTTTGTAAATTTATTATTACCGAACTTATAATTTAACCAATATCTTATTTAAAATATTTCTTAAAGTAAAATATTTTTAGGAAAAAATATTTTACAAAAAATGCTTAAACTTCAAGATATTTCAAATCCATCCCAAAGTTGTAACTTTAACATTCTCAATTATAAACATCTAAATTTAGCCAATTATTTATTTTTTTCTAAAAGCAATTTAGATTTCAAACTAATATTTAAATTTTATAGTATTTACTAAATATATTTAATTATTTAATAAAGTAGACTTTTGGGTCTTATTATATTACATGTTCATATTATATATATGATTGTCCAAAACTCCAAAACACATGGTCGTTTGGTGGATTACGTCGATATAAACTAAACGGAAAGCTTCGAATACTCTTATTTTAGATTCGATAATGACAACTTTTTTTTTTTTTTAGTTAAAATTTAAATGCATGTATAAAAATATATTTTTTATCATATGCAAATGTTTGCACATTGAATATACTTTTTGTCCTATTCTTATTTTATTTCTATTTTTTTTACACTTGTATACATTATGGAAGACAAGTCTCGAGTATGTTTCAAGATTCCTTCAACTACGATGTATAATTTCTAGGGTTGTGTTAGGTATCGTGGTTGTTAGTAATGTGACATAAACGATTAGTAGTTAACAAAAGCTTATACGTATATGATTAGCATACACATAAAATGAATGTCCTAGGACTTAGTTTGATGAATTGTATGTTGTATGATTAGTATGCGTTACTACAACAATTAACCTGTAGGTTATGGAGACTGTCAGCCGTGTGATGAATGATATGGACGTCAATCATGTGAATTATGAGTATTGTTTTTTGTATCGTGGGACCTTATGTATTTTGTGTGACTGTCTCAATCATAGGTTACTCTCCTAGTCACAATTCATATGTATATATAATATGGTTTACGTTTTGTGTATCTATATTTTCGTGGGTTTCAATTGTGTAAGGGACGTATGCTCATAGTTAGGCAAAAGGAAGACGGTAAATATGCTAGACTAGTAGGTCAAAGTACACACACATCGGATTCGCGTCGAGAATAAAAAGTAATGCACCTCTAATTATATCCGACACATAAGTGAAGCGGAGTCGGAGTCGGTGATAACTACAACTATATTATTCGTCTAAAAATCAAAACTTAATTTATTAATTAAAAGAAAAGTCAAAAAATCAGCAAAAGAGGTATTTAGTTTACTACTTTTTCACTATTTTCAAAATTAAAATCTTTTGAAACGAGAAATTTACGGATAGTTAAATAAACAGATATTTAGTCTATCACGTGCATCCGCACGTGGTTCTCACGTGATGCAAAGTCATCAGTTTAAAAACCTCGTGTCAATTTCTGAATGGCGAACTTATATTATACCATATATCGTATCTGCAGCGGAACTTCAGGTCGCCGCCATTTAAATTCCCATTTTACCCTCGGCTTTTTCTTTATTGACCATCCACGTCCCTTCCTCACAAAGTAAAATTACAGGCTATTTTTCATTATTTATTTATTTATTTATTTATTTATTTTTATGAACCAGCTCTCTCTCTCTCTCTCTCTCTCTCTCTCTCTTTCTCTCTCTCTCTCTCTCCCTCGCTCGCTCGCTCGCTCGAGTGTTGCAGGATTTTTTTTTTTTTCTTTTTGGCCTTCGTTTCTCTCTTACTGTTTCAAGTTATACGTGTTTTGCTTGTTCTGTGATTCATCGATCGGACTGTCATCTTCTCTCCGTCAATGACTATGATGACTCCTCCACCTCTTGATGTAATTTAGCTAATCTAATTCAGTTTCTGTTCTTGTTTTTTTTTGTTTTGTTTTTCGTCCTCGTCGTCGTCTTTTGATTGTTTGTCTGTTTGTTTTGGTGTCATTTGCTGTTCTTTGAATTTTGATCTTAGGGATTTGATTTTGGTTCGGACGTCAAATTGAGTTGAGAATTCAAGAACTTGGTTTATTAGATTGCTAGAGCTTTAGGGTTTCGATTCAGTCTTTGTGGGCTTGAGTTTCATCGTTTGGAAGATCTGATTTGCGTGTTTTGATTTGCAGCAAGAAGATGAGGGGATGCTTGTACCGCATTCGGATGTAGTGGAGGGTCCTCAGCCGATGGAAGGTTTATATTTAGCCTGCTTGACTAGTCTACTATTTGAATTTTATGATCTTTTTAGTTCCCTATGGTTTTGAAGTTAATGCGTTTACAATTCACTGGAAGAGGGGATGTTTAGGGTTTTTTTATTTTTTATTTTATTTTTTTTGTGGTGTGACTTCAGTTTCATCATGTGATGATCCCATTTTGTGTTGAGGCATTGATCTGTTTTTTTTACATTTTCGCGATTGGTTTATGTCAGCTCAAGTGGAGCCTTCTGGCGCCGTGGAGAACCAGCAAGTGGAGGACCCCCCACCCATAAAATTCACATGGAGAATAGAGAACTTCTCTAGGTTAAACATGAAAAAGTATTATTCTGATACGTTTTCAGTTGGCGGATATAAATGGTACGTTCTTTATTTCATTTTCATTTGCGAGATTGTAATTTGGGCCATTTAGTGCTGTAGCTAGTAGTTGATTTGAGTTTGTTGGTTTCATCAGGCGGATATTAGTTTTTCCAAAGGGAAACAACGTGGACCACCTGTCAATGTATTTGGATGTTGCAGACTCTGCAACATTGCCGTATGGTTGGAGTAGATATTCGCAATTCAGCTTGGCTGTGGTTAATCAGGTCCATAAAAAATATTCAATACGGAAGGGTAAGTACTTTAATCGCTTGTAAGGGAAATATTTTAATCACTTGTCGATTGATATGTTGAGTATTAGATGAAAACTAGCACTACAAAAATATTTGTGTTTTTCAGACTCTCTCTTTCCCCCCTTTTTGAAGCATGGGCAATTAGCTTTCATATGTTTTCTCCCACTTTTCCCAAATGGTTCACTAAGTTTTATACTTCTTTATTTGTTTCAAGTTCACTAATATAGAAAATGATACTAAATGTCCAACATGATCGTCGAAGTTATTGGAGAAAGAAAAAATCTTTCAAATCACAGTTTTAGAGAAAAAAAAGAATGTACCAAATACAGAGAAGATAAGAAATAAAACGAATGTATAACAACTTACAAGCAAAGATTCCAGAAGGATCTGTACTCTATAGGACAACACAATGATTACTGTACATGGGAAGAAGTTGACAGTTTGAATAATAGATATGAGTGGAACTAATTCATCAATCTCACAATCAATAAAGGTTTTTCGATATGAAAATCAAAATGGAATCTTCTCCAAGTCCAAATAAGTCAGGAAATTTTTGGAAAGGGCTTCAAAATAAAGAAGGGAAATTGTGATGAAAGGTAGTAGCCTCCTTAGAGTTCTCAGACAACATTGGATCACCTTTTATGAGTTATGAATGGTGTCCAATGACCCTGATTAGGACTTAGGAGTACCTTATGCCTCAAGATTCAAAGGAATAATGCCAGAACTATTTTGATAGAAGTAAAATATTTTACACCTTTTATTCCCAATGGACCACCCCCCTCAGATGGCTCGGTACAATACTTCATTAGCTAAATGCCAGTCACTTCTCTCCTCAACCACCTCCCGCAGAAAATTTCTCATACTCTTGGGCCAACTTCACTTTAACCTGTGTTTGGATTTTCAAAAGAGATGGAAAGTACTGTGAAATTTCATGTTTGGATATCAATATGACAAAAGACAATAGTTGTTAATACTGATTTGAGGTCTACACAAAGGCCTTCTTCCTTGTAAGTTTGTTGTATTCCTTGTAAGATTGAATGGTATGTTTTTTTGCGGGGAGGAACAATTTCTTTGATAGAATGAAATAAAAAAGATTTAAACACTCCTAGCCACAAAAAGTTGTATTACGTGAAAGATCTCCAATTGATAATTAAAGGGCGAAAGACTTTAATATGAAAAAGGATGTTTACATTTACATCAATGGAGTGAATTAAAGACAACCAAATCTATGAAAGTTAAAAAATTGGTGACCATATCTCTGAAAATTCGGCCATTTCTCTCACACCAAAGAGACCAAGACAAGCTAACCGTAAAATCTTCTTTGGACCATGAAAAGGATGACCACAAAAATCAAAGCTAAGAGATCAAAAAGATTATTAGTTCAAGCCATACTCCAACCAAAAGTTTCCGGCATACAAGTC